AGACTGCCCCAGAAAGCCTCGGACTGCCGACAAAAGACCCAGACGCCCCAAAAAAGCTCCCAAGAGAGACCCAAGAAACCCACGGGAGATCCCCAGGAAGGACTTCGGAGGCCCCCAAGAGGCCCAAAATAGCTTCCGAAGACTTCTGGAGGGACCCAGCTACCCACAAAGGCCCAAGAAGGCCCCAAGACGGCCCAGGAAGGCCCCAGGACGGCCCAAAGAAAACACCCAAACACCTAAACGCGGTTCTCCTGCGAAGTGCATCGAGCTCACCCGACGCTCTTAGTTCCACGCTTCAGGCTCGCGGTCCCCATTCCTAGATCGAGAGAGACAGGCAAGGGATACAGATCCGAATTTCCACGATCCAAGATTTCCTGAATGTCAGGGAGCGACCACAAATCGATTCGTTCCGCGGCGGTGTCAGCAGGCGCCGGTCGCCCGTGCAGACCCTCAAGTCCCTATGCTACCACAAGCGATGATTGATTGTTTTGCCAGGGAAGCGTCTGGAACAAGGCGCATGGCGCGAAGCGCCAATGCAGTCTTGTATATATATATCTATATATATATATATATGGACAGCCCCCCCCAGCACCCACTCATCGCAGCATTCGCGGCCAACGTGTTTACTAACATCCTTCTCGTTTGCCTCTCCTTCTCTTCTCATCTCCTTTTCTGCCTCCCTCTTTCTCTCCCAATCTCTGCATTCGCTTCCCAACATGCCAGCAAGTAAGCAAGTGCAACGAAGGATGGCGCGTAGCAAGTGCCACGAAGGGTGGCTTGGAATGTAACATTGAAGCAAATGCAGCCACCAGGGGCGCCCGACCTTGCGGCCTGATGCCCCGAATGGACCCGTATTTGCTCAAATGGCTGTGGATCTCGGACAATAGAACAAATGCGTTGTATAGATATACAGATTACTAGATACGCGTATGTATAACAACTAAAGACTACTTGAACAATTTCGGGTACGGGTCATTCTGAAACGCGAAAGCTCAATACGGAACGTTCCTGGGGGCCGTAGTTGCAGTAAGTGTACGATCGAGATGCGTGAACGCCGAGGTCGCTACCAAGTCCTTGCCAGCCGACTCGTCCTCGCACTCATTCCGCGCGCCCAGCCCTCGACAAAATGACCCTCACAAGTTGTCGACGCGCCTCTTCACTGTCGCCCCCCTTCGCCCTTTGAATGTCGCCCCCCGTTAATGTCAAAGCAGACCGAGATGCTGTCTGGGCCGGCGCGACTCGGAAGCCCAACGATGTTCGACATTGGAGAGGGGGCGCCAAGAAGTACTTCGTACGCAAGGTCACCCATCCCCAATCCATTTACTCTACGAGTGCATTGCGTCACGCACTTTTGATATTCACTTTGCCGAGGGAATTAAGCTTACCCGACACAGCTCGCACTTGTGACCTACTCTCGTCCGGCTACCAAGCAGGGCGCGAACACGACCCGATACGCAAGGGTGGGCCTCCGTGAAATTCATCGTGGGGGGCTCGCTCCTTTCCTCTCGGGACGGCTCTGATGGCCTTGGACCTCCACGCTAAGCTTGCAGACCAGAGGTCGCCTGAGCCGCTGGAATGCGCCAGAGAGGTGTGATCGGCGAATGTCCAAGAATCATTAAAACGCCGGTGGGTAAAGAGATACAGTCGAGGCGTTGACCTAAGGAACCCTAAATAAGGAACGAGGCCCCTTCTTCCCATGAGTTCAACCTCGAGTTCCCCTGGAAAACCTCAGGAAAACCCTAGGCAAACCTTGAAACAATCAAGGAACACCGAGCCCGTCCCCAACGAAAAGGGTTCCTTCTTCGGCGCCCCGACTGTATTTTGAGCGGCCCATGATCGCGGAGCCGCTGGAATGCGCCAGAGAGGTGTGATCGGCGAATGTCCAAGAAGAGGAGGAGGAGGAGGAGGAGGAGGAGGAGGAGGAGGATTAAAACGCCTGTGGGCAATCAGATATTTTGAGCGGCCCCGGATCGCGGAGCCACGCCTCTCGACACCACACGCGGAGCAGAGCAGGCAGGCAAGCACTGAAACGCCCGCGGGGGGCCAATCATGCCGAGGAAGGGAGGAATCATACAGTCGGGGCGTTGCCCCTTAGGAGCCCTAAATAAGGAACGAGGTCCCCTTTTCCCAAAAGTTCGAGGAACCCTAACTGAGGAACTAAGGAACCCTAAATAAGGACGAGGAAACCTAAATGAGGAACGATTTCCGATGGAAAACCTTAGGGGAACCTGAGGCAAATTGCACAACAGTCAATGAACATCGAGCCCCTCCCCAACGAAAAGGGTTCCTTCTTCAGGGCCCCGACTGTACATCTTTCGCCGCCGGGGGCGCTGTTCCCCTCCGACCCTGTCGGCATGTGGAAGAGGCCGCTCCGTCAGCGAAATTGAGCCACGTTGTAGTCGAGTCGAAGGGAAGCCCCTTCCTTTGATCCCTTCCCCGCCGGGGAGGGGGGGGGTCCCGGGATTGGGGTCCCAAGGGGGGCCCCGCGGGGGGGGGGGTGGCCCCTGGCGGTCCAGGGGCAGATGCGACTCCCCCCCGGGCGGCTCGCGGGCCCAGAAAAGCCCGAAGACGTGGCAATAGTGCCCCAAGATGTCCCCAAAACGGTTTTCGAGGGCCCCGAATCGCCGAAGTATCGGTCCAAGTCGCCAAAGTAACCTCCAGACGGCTCAAAATGTCCAAAACGCCCCAGGAGGCCTCCAAGAGGACTTCCACGACGGCCCCGAGGGGCAAAAACGTAGATTTCCCTCAGGTTTTTGAAAGATTTCAGCATTCTCGCCTTTGTCAGCTTCACGACGCTCCAGGACAGGCCAAGAGGCCTCCAAGACCGCCCCAAGATGCCTTCAAGAGAGCTCCCCAACGACCCAAGAGGGCCCCAAGACCGCCCAAGAGGCATCCAAGACAGCCGAGGAGGCCCCCAAGACGGCTCCAAGAGGTAGCCCAGACAGGGGGCCCGAACGGACATGTCGATCCCTCGGCCTGAGAAGCTCTCAGAAAGCCCCCAGAGGCCGGCCCCAGAGGCCCCTAAGAAGCCCCCAAGAGGCCCCAGGAGGCCCCCAAGGGATCCCCAGGAAGCCCCAAGAGGCCCCCACGAGGCTCCCAAGCGGCTCCCACGAGCTTCACAAGAGGCCCCCGCACTACCCTCAACAGGCCCCCGAGAGCGCTCGTCGTCGTCGTCGTCGTCGTCGTCGTCGTCGTCGCCGTCGTCGTCGTCGTCGTCGGCGTCGTCGTCATTCAGGGTCGGCGCACCGGCCGTAAGGCCTTCGCAATACATCTTTCGCCGCCGGGGGCTCTGTTCCCCTCCTGCTAGAGGATGGGAGGGTCACTTCGCGGCTGGCATTCGGAGGCCACTGGAAATTACTGTCTGCACCTGTAGCTGCCTCGCGCCTCCAAGATGTAAGACGAGACTGATGTGTCTTGATGTGATTGGCTCACGATGCGTTCCAGGATGTCTGGAGTACCTAGTGGCCCTCGTTTCTGCAACCCGTGTAGAAAAGCATAACATCTGGGAAATATGGGACCTCTGGGAAATCCTGTAGCGTATCACTATATGAAGAAGAAGAACGGCATATACATGAACTTTTGGCGTTCCGCGCTGATTTCTTGGATCTGCGCTGGACGCCCCGGAGGCGCCGCTGGGGGACCCAGCGCGGATCCAAGAAATCCGCGCGGAGCGCAACAAAGTTTATGTCTATGGCGTTCTCTCTTTCACGAATTATCATAACCTCGTGCTTCTCTGACGATTGGTTGGAGGCTGGTGAAAGGTGCCAGCGGCCGCTACAGGCCGCCGGAAGCATCAGGAAGCCACCAGGCCTTGGCAAGAGAATAGCCGCTCCCACCGCCCTTCTCTTCCAACGGGGCCCGGGGGGAGGATACACTGCCTTTCTCGCGCACTCTCGCTGCACTTCGCGTGCCTCCCACCCCTTCGTGTCCCGACGTGGCCACCAGAGATTTCGAGCTGTGATTGCGATGTCGTGTCTGCTTTGTTGCACCCGTGCCCCGACGGAAGCCGCACAACTGCCGAATCTTTCCTGTGCGTCCCCAGCTCCAAATCCTGACCTGGACGTTGGCCCACAGTCGATTCTCCCTCCCTTCCCGGCCTTTCCAGGTCTTGTCCACCTCGGCTTCCTCCCCCTGCCTCCCCGCCCAGGGCTCGTCCTTCGCCTCCTCCCCCTCATCACATCCTCGGTCGCCTTCCCCTCCCTGCGCCCTCTCCTCCTCCTCCTCCTCCTCCTCCTCCTCCTCCTCCTCCTCCTCCTCCTCCTCCTCCTCCTCCGCCTCCACCTCCCCCTCCTCGGCTACACGCAAAGAGTGGCCCTGGGCAAGATTGACCTCTGGTGCGCGGCTTCAGGGGGGGCGCGTGGGGACCCAACACGAGCGCGCAGGACGCTACCATCGCATCGCGATGGGCGATCGAGGACGCCAGCGAGCCCGCACCAAAGGTCACTCCGGCGAAGGGTCGCCTGAGCATTTTCTCAAGGTGGAGGGCTCAGGGTGAGATCCATATGGGCTTTTGCACCTCGACAATCAATCCGTCTTTTGCAGACTCAAGCCTCGAAAGCCGATCGAAACTGCTTTCAGATTTCACCCTTTGCCCTCCACCCAAAGAAAATGCTCGGGCCCCTCTTACTTCTAGTCGGCCTCCTCCTTCTCCTGCCGCATCCCGGCGCGCTCGGCCGCGGCGGGGGGGGTTGGCGGCGCGCACAAGGGGGTGGGGGGAGGGGGGAGGGCTTCTTAGAAGCACCCTGCTTCTCAGAAGGCGATGGCCCTGTATCTACAGATAAGGCCCGCACCTTCTGAGAAGCAGGGGTGCCTAAGCGGCCCCTGGTGGCCAGGAAGAGGCCCAGGATAGAACAACTAGAGGGGAAAGGATCTTGGCCCCCCACACACAAAAAAATCAAAGAACTTTCGAAGACTTAGAGATGAACAATGTGCTCGTCTGGTCCGCCTCCCACTTCTCCTGCCGCACCCCGGCGCGCTCGGCCGCGGCGGCGGGGGGGGACCACGTAGGCCAGGCCCGTGCCCGCGGGGCGCCACTCCGCCTCCTGGCGCCCGCGGATTTTTTTTTTGGGGGGGGCTCCGCCTCTCGCGTTCTGTCGGGCCTGTCCCCCTACAGGGAGATTTTCGACGAAAAATGAAAAATACCCCCAAAATAATCAAAACATACTTTAAAAATAGTCCAGGGACGATTTTTTGAGTATTTTTGTGTACCTTTTTTGGTATATGTTTGGGGTACTCTTATTTTTTCGTCGAAAATCCCCCTGTAGGGGGACACGCCCGGCATCACTCTCGCGAGCCTGCCGCGGGTCCACCGCTCGAGCTCGAGCGGCCACTGGCGTCAGGTCGAGGTCACTACGGTGCGGGCATGGGATGAGGAACCACTGGATAAGGAATCGAGGACGTCCTGGGGACCCGTGGCGGGCACCGTGCTGCCGCGAGCCGAGGGCGCGAACTGCATCGGGGAGCCGACAGCTACATCCGCCGGAGGAGCAAGTCTTGGGTGCAGTGGAGGCCCACGCCAAGATGCACCCTGCTTGCCTCCAGGGAGCCCTGGGTGTCTCGGGCTTCGACGGTCTTGCTGTGAAAGGCGTGACGTTCCCACACCAAACACCAGAGGACGTCCTGGGGTCTCAGGGTTGGAGTTTCTTGTGGAAGGTCTCCTGTGGACCGGCCCCGCGCTGTGGGTCTCCGTCACCGATCAGGCAGCCCACGGCGTGCCCAGGCCCACAGCGCCCGGGGGAGATGCACAGCACCATTCGCGGGGGGCCTCACGGGCCGAATGCGTGCTAATTAGGCTGTCCGGTGGGAGGTCACTACGGTGCGGGCATGGGATGAGGAACCACTGGATAAGGAATCCAGGGTCTGGAAGCCAGTCGAACTCCCATCGTGGGTTGGCCATGGATATCACCGGCGCCCCCATCAGGCCAGGAATCCCCCAGGGTCTGCAGCCTCACGTGGGCACATTCCTCGACCAACGCCCCCACCGTAGCACCTGTCAGAGTGAGGGGGTGTCCGAACGGTCTCACTCTATCCTTAGGTCGGGCGTGTTCCCCCGCAGGCAATATTAAAATTAGCCTGGCGAAGGACCCAACCATATGCAGTTGTGGGTATCGCATTCGGGGGAGCCCCGTATGGGGCCACGAAACGCTGCCCTGGGTGGGGGGGACGCATGCGAAATGCGCCACTGGGACCTTCGGTGGAGCTCTCTATGGAGCCACGAAGCGCTGTACTGGGTGGGATAGACGCATGCGAACAGCGCCACTGGGACCTTCGGTGGAGCTCCCTATGGGGCCACGAAACGCTGCCCAGGGTGGGGGGGGACGCATGCGAACTGCGATACTGGGACCTTCGGGGGATCTACCTATGGGGCCACGAAGAGCTGCCCTGGGTGGGGGGGGCGCATGCGAATTGCGCCACTGGGGCCTTCGGTGGAGCTCCCTAGGGGGCTACGACACGCTGCCCTGGGTGGGGGAACCGCATGCGGGCTGTGCCACTGGGACCTTCGGTGGAGCTCCCTATGGGGCTACGAAACGCTGCCCTGGATGGGGAACCGCATGCGGGCTGTGCCACTGGGACCGTCGGGGGAGCTCCCTATGGGGCTACGACACGCTGCCCTGGGTGGGGGAACCGCATGCGGGCTGTGCCACTCGGACCTTCGGGGGAGCTCCCTATGGGGCTACGAAGCGCTGCCCTGGGTGGGGTAACCGCATGCGGGCTGTGCCACTGGGACCCTCGGTGGAGCTCCCTATGGGGCTACGAAACGCTGCCCTGGGCAGGGTAACCGCATGCGGGCTGTGCCACTGTGACCATCGGTGGAGCTCCCTATGGGGCCACGAAGCGCTGCCCAGGGTGGGGGAACCGCATGCGGGCTGTGCCACTGGGACCTTCGGTGGAGCTCCCTATGGGGCTACGAAACGCTGCCCAGGGTGGGGGAACCGCATGCGGGCTGTGCCACTGGGACCTTCGGTGGAGCTCCCTATGGGGCTACGAAACGCTGCCCTGGGTGGGGAACCGCATGCGGGCTGTGCCACTGGGACCCTCGGTGGAGCTCCCTATGGGGCTACGACACGCTGCCCTGGGTGGGGGAACCGCATGCGGGCTGTGCCACTGGGACCTTCGGTGGAGCTCCCTATGGGGCTACGAAACGCTGCCCTGGATGGGGAACCGCATGCGGGCTGTGCCACTGGGACCGTCGGGGGAGCTCCCTATGGGGCCACGAAACGTTGCCCTGGGTGGGGGAACCGCATGCGGGCTGTGCCACTGGGACCCTCGGTGGGGCTCCCTATGAGGCTACGGAACGTGAGAGGGGTGTGCCGAGAGCAAAGGCAATTAGGGGGAGGGAGGAGGGGGAGGGAGAAGCGGGAGGAGGAAGGAACGCGGGGCGCTGTCTCTTCAAAACGAGGACCCAACACCACAGGATCGTTGGGAAATACCCCAAAAATGTTCAAAGATAGTCAAACATAGTCAAACAATCGTCCCCAGACTATTTTCTAACTATTTTCGGATACTCCTCCTGTCGAGGGGCGCGCCCGACTCAACACTGGTGCGAAGCTCGGCGGCGAGCGAGAGGGGTGGAAGTGGGAAGAAGGCCTGCTCGGAAGGCGGCGGGGCTTCTCAGAGGCCCTCGCGCCTGCTGAGCAATTCGTTCTGCGTCTTCGGGGAAGGCCCGGGGCACTCCTATCCTCCTCCTCCTCCTCCTCCTCCTCCTCCTCCTACTCCTCCTCCTCTTCCTCCTCCTCCTCCTCCTCCTGGGGGCTTCCGAGCCTTCTCACAAGGCCCGCCCCTTCTCGCTGCCCCCCCCGCCGGGCTCGCCGCCGAGAAGCGTTGCCAGTCTCGCCGCCGAGGTCTCCTTCGGTCCTCCCAGGGGATCCTCGAGGACGCGGGCCCGAAGAGCATGCAGCGTCGCGAACACATCGGGACGGAGGTCTCTCGCCGCTCTCGGCCTCTCCCGGCCCTCGCCTGGCCTCGGGCAGGCAGGACGTCTCGCAGACGCGACGCACGGGTGCATGTTGCCGGCTTCTCGCTGCTGACCGCCGCTGTCCATGCGCAGCATACTCGCACGGACACTCGCATGAATTCTCGCATGAATTCCGGCCAGATTCCGCGCGGATTTGTTCCCCTTGTCCAGCGCCTGGATTGCATGCGATGTTAGATTGCTTTGCAGTGGAAAAATCCATGCAGAATTCACACAGGACTCTATACCAGTGTTAGTTTGTCTGTTCTATGGCTCACGCTGCGGAATCCATGCGCAAATCCACGACCCTGATGGAAATTTCCATACAGACTCCACTCAGAAACCGTACTGCAGAATACCCTGTCTGACCTCGGGGGCCACGAGACCGTCAGCAAACTACTCGGGATGAAAAGCTCGTCTCGGGGGAGTGGTCGAGAGGTCGGGGGCCCGTGTCTCGAAAGCATCGGGACGCTGAATGCCTGGGGCACGCGACCTCAGGCTGCCTGGGCTGTCGGCTCCTCCGCTGGCCTGCACCCCGATTTTCCCGGCCATGGTGTCTATTTGTCTGGAGGTCGACTGACGGCTCGGCGATTGAGCCAACTGTCTTGCTTTCGCGTCCGACAGGCCCCGGGCAGGAGAACATAGGAAACCCAAGACCTGGGAGCCCTGGGGCCCCGTGGCGGGCACCGTGCTGCCGCGAGCCGAGAGCGCGAACTGCATCGGGGAGCCGATAGCTACATTCACTGGAGGAGCAAGTCTTGGATGCAGTGGAGACCCACGCCAAGAAACACCCTGCTTGCCTCCAGGGAGCCCTGGGTTTCTCGGGCTTCGATGGTCTTGCTGTGAAAGACGTGACGCTCCCACACCAAACATCCGAGGACGTCCTGGGGTCTCAGGGTTGGAGTTTCTTGTGGAGGGTTTCTTGTGGACAATCCCCCGCTGTGGGCCTCCGCCACCGATCAGGCAGCCCACGGTGTGCCCTGGCCCACAGCGCCCGGGGAGATGCACAGCACCATTCGCGGGGGGCCTTACGGGCCGAATGCGTGCTAATTAGGCTGTCCGGTGGGAGGTCACTACGGTGCGGGCATGGGATGAGGAACCACTGGAGAAGGAATCCAGGGTCTGGAAGCCAGTCGAACTCCAATCGTGGATTGGCCATGGGTATCACCGGCGCCCCCATCAGGCCAGGAATCCCCCAGGGTCTGAAGCCTCATCTGGGCACACTCCTCAACCAACGCCCCCACCGTAGCACCTGTCAGAGTGATGGGGGTGTCCGAAGGGTCTCCCTCTATCCTTAGGTCGGGCGTGTCCTCCTACAGACGGGTTTGGGACAACAAAGTAAAACAGAGTCTAAACAAGTATCCCAAAACAGCCACACTTCATCGACAAGTCGTCCCCAGACTATCTTGTTTACCAATCTTGAATTTTCGCCCCGCAGAGGCTTTGTGGGCCCCCCAAAAATGTCCCTTGAAAATGGATGCGGCCAAACAACGGCGACCGGAAACGGCAAAAAAACGGCTCCAGGATTGGAACCGGAGCTGGAACCGGTCAAAAAACGGCGACGGAACCGGTAACAAAAACGGCGTCGGATTTGCAACAAAAACGGCAAAACGGAACCGGTAAAAAAACGGCCCTGTCGTTTCCAGGGCCCACTAAGCGCAGAGGGGCACGCCCGACTTAAAACTCTGCCCCTGCGCGCGCGCGTCGCCAGATCGGCGCCTCGGCTCGGCCCGGGCGCCGTGTGGCGCGCCGTGTGTGCGCGCCGTGCGGGCGCGCGGTGCCGGGCGCGCGAAGGGGTGCCGCGGGTAACTGTGCCTCGCAGACTCGAGGGCGCGGGGTGGGTGGGGGGAGGGAGGGAGGGAAGGAGGGAGGGAGGGAGGGAGGGAGGAAGGGAGGGATCCAACTACGTTCTCGTGATTTCGGATTTCGATGGCGCAGCTTGTGCGGAAACGTGTTCTGCGATCGCTGCCCTCTGTGAACCAAGCGACTGCTCCTACGCCATGCGAGCTGCGCCCACGGCGGGGTGCTGTCTTTGGTCGACATGCCCTTACCCAAAGCAGAGCAGCCCCTCACTCCTGTCCACGCCTGCGACAGCTTCGCGTGGCTACGTACACGCGTGCACGCCAAATCATGTGTGTGTACGCATGGGCGCATATGGGATGCATGTGCGCGCGAGCATGACTTCTCGACGCAGGCGCTGTCCCCCGAGGCTAGATCGGAGACCTCGTCGAGGCTTTGGGGCCCCTCTGCTGGGGCCCCGGCTCTGGCCGACGTCGGCGCAGCCCTGCAAGACGCCGACCACCGCGTATACAGTGCGCGGCGCCGCTCCATCGGCATGCTGGCCTGGGCCACTGCGCATGCCCGAAACTACGCGCAAGCACAGGCGCAAACGGGATGTGTGTGCACATCGCTGTGCGTGGATGCGCGTGCAAGTGTGTGGGGGTGTGTGTGTGTGTGTGCACATCGCTGTGCGTGGGTGTGTGTGTGTGTGTGCACATCGCACTGCTCCGGGAGAGCGACACGGCTGGGGGAACCAAGAGGTGCCGCTGCCGCCACTGCCCAGGCCTCCCCCAGGGTGCGTACCTGGATGCCTCCCAGATGGGGTCCGAGTAGATGGGGTCGAAGGATCGCGCCGCATCGCCAATGCATTGCCGATGTAACGGCGCTGCGTCGGCGATGCATCGGCGACTTCGGCGATACATCGGCGGCGTCGGCGTGGGGCAGCACGGGCTCCATATAGAGCCGCATCGGCGACGCGGCGCGATCCTCCGACCCTATCTACTCGGACCCCATCTGCGAGGCCCAGAGATCTGACCAGCATCTCGAGGAGCATCCAGCCGTGACGACGGAAGCTCTCGAGGAGCAGCAACATCGGTAAGCGGACCTCCTCCGGACCGTAGCAGCAGAGTTCAAACCTCCTCCTCCTCCTCCTCCTCCTCCTCCTCCTCCTCTCCTCCTCCTCCTCCTCCTCCTCCTCCTCCTCCTCCTCCTCCTCCTCCTCCCTCCTCCTCCTCCTCCTCCTCCTCCTCCTCCTCCTCCTCCTCCTCCTCCTCCTCCTCCTCCTCCTCCTCCTCCTCCTCCTCCTCCTCCTCCTCCTCCTCCTCCTCCTCCCCCCTCTTCTCCTCCTCATCCCCCCCCTCTCCTCTCGGGGCGCCCCGCCTCCTCGCCCGCCGAATACAGCTTGCCGCGATGCCCTCTGGCGCCCTCGGCATCCGTGGCCGGGCCCTCCGCGCCCATCGGCCGTGGCCTGGTGGCGACACGACCGAGCCGAATGGCCCCTCTGCCCGCCCTCGCTCTGCATTCTTGGCTATTGCGACGTCGACAGCTTCGAGCAGTAAGGCCTCCTCCGCGCCTCCAAGACGCCCTAGAGGTGTCCAAGAGGCCTCCCAAGGGGGGCCCCAAGAGGCCCAACTCATTGATTTGCCTCTGGCTTTTGAAGAGCCTCGCCTTGCGCGACCCGTGAAGTAAGGAGGCGCGGTAAGGATGCAAGTGCCTTGGGGGGGGGGCATGCTTGCGAAATTCGAACGAGGCTGGCCAGCGAAAGTCGCCAATGATGGGCCGAAGGGGCAAGGATGCAAGGGTACCCTTGGGAACGTTGCCCATACGTACTATGCGGGTTGACTGCACTGCGGCGTCGACAACTTCGAGCAGTGCGCATGGCAGCAATGCCAGCGCCGAGGCGCCACCGCGCCGTCCACCCTTGGACCGTCCTCAAGGCCGCAGTGGCGTGTGTGTTGTGTGTGTGCGTGTGTGTGGTGTGTGTGGTGTGTGCAGTAGTAGTAGTAGTAGTAGTAGTAGTAGTAGTAGTAGTAGTAGTAGTAGTAGTAGTAGTAGTAGTAGTAGAAATAGTAGAAGTAGTAGAAGTAGTAGTAGTAGTAGTAGAAGTAGTGGTAGTAGTAATAGCGTGTGTAGCAGTAGTAGTAGTAGTAGTAGTAGTAGTAGTAGTAGTAGTAGTAGTAGTAGTAGTAGTAGTAGTAGTAGTAGTAGTAGTAGTAGTAGTAGTAGTAGTAGTAGTAGTAGTAGTAGTAGTAGTAGTAGTAGTAGTAGTAGTAGTAGTAGTAGTAGTAGTAGTAGTAGTAGTAGTAGTAGTAGTAGTAGTAGTAGTAGTAGTAGTAGTAGTAGTAGTAGTCGTAGTAGTCGTAGTAGTAGTAGTAGTAGTAGTAGTAGTAGTAGTAGTAGTAGTAGTACTAGTAGTAGTAGTAGTAGTAGTAGTAGTAGTAGTAGTAGTAGTAGTAGTAGTAGTAGTAGTAGTAGTAGTAGTAGTAGTAGTAGTCGTAGTCGTAGTCGTCGTGGTGTGTGTGTATGTGTGTGTGCGTGTGTGTGTGCGCGTGTGTGTGTGTGGTGTGTGTGTGGTGTGTGTGTGGTGTGTGTGATGTGTGTGTGTGTGTGATGTGTGTGATGTGTGTGTGTGTGTGTGTGTGTGTGTTTTGTGTGTGTTCTGTGTGTGTGTGTGTTTTGTGTGTGTGTGTGTGTGTGTGTGTGTGTGTGTGTTCTGTGTGTGTTCTGTGTGTGTGTGTGTTTCTCGATCACTCTCTCCCTCTCTCTCTCGCTCGGCCCACGGACACAGGCCCACGGCCCGGGTCGGGAGCGCGGCTTGGAGACCAGACGCCCCTTCGGAGCCCAAGGGTGGCTCTTGCTCCGGCGCCCTGCAGGAATGCGGCAGATCTTGGGCCCGCAGGAAGGCCGATTTTCGGAAACCCTGAACCCAAAAACGTTTTCATGTCTTGGGGGGACATCTTTCGCTTCCGCCGCCCCTCCGCCGAGTTTCCGCCAGCCTTCCGCTGCGGAACAGGACGACAACGGCTTCGATCCTCGAAGGCAGGGCCCTTCTTGTGGAACTCCCCACATGAACCCCGTCCGACGTCATGATTTTTTCATGACGTCGCTCCCCAGAGGTTTCGACCTATTCCCCAGGACCGATGATTCATCCCGAATCGTTTTTTGACGGTCCCGAGGCCTGGTTATGGCCCCCAGGGGCCGAAACTGGAGGAAAACCTCCCGTCGTGATTTTTTCACGTCTCGAGGGGGCCTGGGAGTACGAACCCAACCAGGCTTGGTGCGCGGCCAGGAACTCTTGCGTACAGCGTGTCCCGGCAGCGGCCCCGGCGCCCTGCAAGCCGCTGGCTAGAGTGCCGCTCCGCTTGCGCGGGGCAGGAAGCATCGCAAGGCTCGGGGCGGCGACGCCTGTAAACAAGGGCCCTAGAATTAGGTTGGGCATGCCCTCCTGCAGGCGGATTAGGGGAGGAAAAAGCATAAGCAGTCAAAACATATTCAGTTGTCAAACAACAGTCGAAACATCGTACCCGTATTTTCTGCAGAGGGACATGCCCGAATCAACCCTGGAACCGGCGGGGCGACTCGCTAAGCAAACGTTCCCGACCGTACTCGGGCGTCTGTGCAAGGCGGGGATCTATCCATGCGCACCGCCCGCGGAACCGACGTCCCGGAACCCCGGCGGGCGGCGAATCTGAACTCAGCTTGGCGGGCCCAGGAGGCGCGCACGTCGCGATGCCCACCGCCTGTCGAGACCTCTGAAGGTCGATACCCCAGGGGTGGCCACGGATGACTAAAACACCGCCTCGGAGTGCACTTGGCGATCCCCGAGTATCGACACTGTAAACAGGGACGCCGTCGTTTGCGAAAAAAACGCCAATCTCAGACACCGGTGTGAGAAGATTCCCCAAGGTGAACCAAGCGAACGCCGCGCAAGCCTGATACCCACAACCCGGGCCCAACGGTCAGACTCATCGCAACTTCCGTTGCTCGCCGCCGTGCTCGTCGCTTGTCTCCGCAGGGCGTTTCGGCGGTTCTCTCCGCAGCGCCCGTCCCGCCTTATAGCACTTCGCGCAAACCACCGGATTGCCCCGCTTGGAAAATATTCTTCTGGTCCTTCGACAGATGGCCCCCGTCTGTGAACGCGGGCTGCGACCCGTCCTTTTTCGGGGGACGCGCAAGGCATTCAAACTTATTTGCCACCCTGCGCGCATCGTGGCACGCCGGGCACGCTACTGGCCTATGGTGGATGCCCGTCTGGCGGTACTTCTTGATCTGGTCTGACGTCAGATGCCCCGCGTCCTCGAACTCTGGGCTACTCCCGTCCGCATCCTTCGGGCACGCGGAGCACCTGAGCACCCGAGGCGTTTGTAACCCACGTGTGTTCACGCATGTCCCGCTCTCGGGCGTTAGGAACCCACGTGTTTTCACGGCTGTCCCGCGCTGGGGCGTTAGGAACCCACGCGTTTCCACGCATGTCCCACTCTTGGACGTTAGGAACCCATGTGTTTTCACGCCTTTCCCGCTCTGGGGCGTTAGGAACCTACGTGTCTTCGGGACAACCCACAATGCCTCCCAGACGCCCCCCCGAGCCCCAAGATTTCCCCCAATAACCCAACGAAGCAAAAATGTCCGAATCCCTTTGGGCCGACGTGGAGGCCCCAAGAAGGCTTCCAGAAAACACCATGAGCCAACCAAAAGGACCCGAAAAGGCGCCCTAGAAGGCCTCACAAGCAAAACGCGGCAACCGCGAGTTCCTCAAGGGGTCGGCGGTGTGGCGTAAGCCTGAGAATCCACGTCTGGAGGTGACGTGCTGAGCGGCAGCGTTTTCCGGCGAACGCCTTATTGCAACGTATCCTATTTATCCAATGATTGCATACTTGCCACATGTTGTATTGTGTTACATTATTACGTCTCCCCCCCTAACCCCCCCTGGGAGCTGCGCCACACCGCCGGACCAAAGTGGCCCCCCCCCCTTCCGGGGCTCAGAAACCTACCAAAACTTATAAATCGATGATTTCGACCTCTTGGGCCTCTTGGGGGGCCGAGAGGGCGCCCAGACGGTTCAAGATGGGCTCTGTGCGGGCCAAAACGGCCCCGAGACGGTCCGAGATGGTTCCAGGAGGGCCCCAAAAGCCCAAATGACGGCCCAAGAGGGCCCCAAGCGCGCCCACAACTGCGCCTCCAGAGGCCAAAATCATTGATTTTCCTATAGATGGGGCACTATTTTAACGTTCTCGCCTTTGCGGCCCAAGCAGCTTCGCAAATAGCCCCAGCACAACCCAAGAAGCCCCCAAGAGGGCCCCGAGACGGCCCAACAGAACCCCAAGACGGCCCAAATAGGCCCGCAAGACTGACCAAGAGGCCCCTATGACGGCCCACGAGGACCCCAAGACGGCCCCAAGGCGGCCGCGAGAGGCCCCCAAGACGGTTTCCGAAGGAGCGAAACGACGCAAAGCGCCCCAAAACCGCCAAAGACGCCCACAAGAGGCCCCAAGAGGCCCCCAAGGGGCCCCAAAAAGCCCCCAAGAGGCCTCCAAGATGTCTTCAAGAAGCTTCCCAAAGGCTCCAAAGAAGCCCCCCAAAGGCCACACAGCGACTGCCCCAAGACGGCCCGAGATGGCCCCAAGAAGGCCCCCAAAGCCCCCAAGACGGCCCAAGGGGGCCCCAAGAGCGCCCACAAGAGCGCCTCCAGAGGCCAAAATCATTGATTTTCCTATTGTGTTAAACAGATTTTAGCGTTCTCGCCTTCTCCGCCTCTCAGAAGCCCATGACGGCCAAAGCAGCCTCCAAGATGGCCCCAATAAGGCCCAAGAAACCCAAAGGGGCCCCGAAAATGCAACGTATCCAACGGATCCAATGGATCTAATGATTCAAACATGCTACATGTTGTATGGGTTTACATTATGATGTCTCCCCGTCGAACCCTCTTTGGAGTCGCGCCACTACGCCGTACCAAAGTGACGGCCCCAATTCTGGTGCTCTCTCTCTCTCTCTCTCTCTCTCTCTCTCTCTCTCTCTCTATATATATATATGTATATATATATATATATATATATATATATATATATATATAAAATATGTCACAATGTCGGTTTTAGGGTCTCTTTGGGACTCCAAGAAGGTCTCCATATGGCCCGGGGTGGCTCCAAGACGGTCAACAACGCACTCAAGACGGCCCAAGATGGCCCAAGAAAGCCCAGAAAGCTCCCCAAGACGGCCCAGGAGGGCACCGAGAGCACCCCCAAGAACGCACCCAGAGGCCAAAATCAATGATTTTCCAAAAATAAGGATTTGGGCGTTCTCGCCTTTTTCGATTGTCAGAGGCCCAAGACGGCCCAAACAGCTTCCAACATTTCCCTCAGACCGCCCCAGAAGCGCCCACGGGAGCCCAAAGACGGCTCCAGAGGGCCCCACGACGGCCCAATGAACCCCCCAAAACAACACAAGAAGCCCCAAGACGGCCAAAGAGAACC